AAAAATATACAATTCGGTGGTTGAAACTTGAGTTACAAATCCCTACGCCGACTTTTAATCATTGTATTGATTTTTAAATTGAAACAATATCATTATACTATAGTTTTATATTTAGATAGAGAAAACACATTTCTGTGTAACTGTTACATAGTATGTACTGTGTAGTTGTGTACTATGAACATCTCTTGTGAACCACATGCCACATGAGGAAATAATAGACGTGATGTTCTAGTTTTTTAGTAGAGATAAGGTATGCGTAAATAATAAACATTTAATTATAATGACAATTTTAATTAACTACACTAACATCTAAATATACATTTCAATACTTGTACATAATTTACACAAAGCATTATCTGCTTGTTTAGTTTATGTTATCTTGAAGACAACTGATTAACATGATTTATACAGCTTCAAACAAAATGCAAAGTTATCTACAAAACTGGGAGTAAAAAATACAAGTGTTATTAATTTTAATGAGTACTGGTTGGTTACACAAAAAATCATAAACATGGCAGTACTTATCTGGATTTAACTAGAAAACTAGGTTCAAAAGCTATTTGATAAAAAATACATTTTGTCCTAAATCTATTACAAGCTTTATTGTACAGTAACAATAACAATTCAAATATTTTATTATAATACAGGATAAAATAATATAATATTATACATATACTTTTAAGTAACACGTTTTAACCAGTATGAATAAAATGTTACTTGCAACATCAACATAAATTAAAATCTTTTTTATTGAACTACTTACAAAGTTTGGTGGTTTATTTAGTTACAGTCCTAAGCTGATTTTAATACACCTTTCTGTTCAAGTTCTTTTTCGACCATAGTACCTTCATAGAGAATTTTGTCTTTCAATGCATCTTGTAATAATTGAGCATCAAATCGTTGTTTAGACCATTGGTACCTACAGTAACACCAGTACACCATAGTAGTCATTGAAAATGTTCCCACACCTATGTGCTGCGATAACATAGGCCGAGATGTTTTAATGAATGCCGCTAAACCAACACCTATTCCAGTTGAAATGCCATACAGAAAACTTTCTCTGAAGCATGGTATTTTGGACACATCCCTACCAAATATTACTAGTCCCTGAAATAAGAAAAAGGGTTTTAAAACATAATTCAGTAGGTAAAATTTAAGTGAATGGAATAAACTATATTCCATTCACTTAAATTTTTCTTCATATAAATTTGTCTTTTAAATTTACAGATATGTAATATTAGAACATTAACAACAATGAAAACTATTAAAAAATAAGGGAAGCTACAATTGTAATATATTTATGTATTGTGGTATTTTGATTAATTTATGGATATTTTAATGCATTGAATCGACCTAACCTTTTTTTCTTCTTCAGGCTCCTCATCAAGCAAACTCTTAACTACTGTATCCATATTTTTAGGATATTGCTAGTTATTCTTTCAGAAAACTAGACGGGAGGATTATGAGTTAATAATTATTATCATTAAGAAAAAATTCACAATAGCAACAATAACCTAACCTTAAAACTTTGACGTTGACGTAATAAGCCATCATTGACATGACACTGACAGACAGTTGAGTACCTTTTTATTTTGACTTGGTAACACGGCTTTTTCGCAAAAATAATTTTCTAAAACTTGCATTAATATGTTTTGCTTCTAATAATTTGAAAACTCTGAGTTTCTTTCAAAACAGACAGTGGTTCGGATTTTTATTTACGACTTCGTAATTTTGTTTTAGTTTTATTGATGCTGTGTTCGTGTGTGGTTTTTCATTTATTTGTCTAATTTACGTGATTTATCGTATATCTACTAATACTAACTTAATAAATGTATCAATGTACAATGTACAATGTTTATTGCGAACAATTTCAGAAAATTACAGCACCCGCGCTTTTTGCTATAAATATCAATAAAATGTCAATTTGTAAATAAATGCTGGAAGGCAGATTGACGTCACTTCATTTCGTTTCGTATTGTCAGACTTGTGTTTATTTTGAACATGAAATATATCTAACTCTTTCTAACATGAAGTATTTATGATGTTCCGTCCTGCTGTCTTTTCCGGTAAAATCATTTCAAAACTCGATTGAAGAAAGGGCTGTTGGTTGGGTGCCTGACGTCTCTTTTATTCCAGTCAAGCCTTTTCAAATCTAAAAAATATTGTTTTTCGTAAATTCCCGTGTAATTCCTTAGCTCTCTCTGTTTTCCAGTTACAATACCTTTTCGAAGTAAATTCTATTTCATTATACGAAGTATCTTCCACAAACGTGAGTGATAAGTTTTAGATATTTTAGAAAGCTTATCTCCAGCTTAGTGTTTTTCTGTGAGAGTAGTTTTTAAGGGAAGTAAGAAGTCTAGACTGTAGGAGTTAATATATAAAGCTTATATAATGCGCCAGCTGTGAAGGACACCACATAGTCTACATTTTATGATAGGTAAGTAGTATCTATATGTGTGAATAGCAAGCAAGTTATCATATCTATCAAGATATCCGCCTGTAGCGCGGTATCTATTACAGGTCATGCTTTAGTGCTGTTTATTGCAACTACGATTTATTGAATTCTTTAATTAACTAAAACTGTAATAATTGATCACACACCTACAACACAGCTGAACACAAATCCAATTTTTTTGTTGTTACGTTTTATTGGGCCATAAAACTGGTTTTTTAATTGAACAATTATATGCCAGAATTTTTAATTCATCATTATTGTCAGTTATATTCATATCTACAATTTAAAATAGTGTATAAAATATTTCCATAGCAACAAACACAGAGATCCACAATATCTCTAATCTCTATCATTATGAGCTTTTGTAATGAAATGATATTAGAAAATACTGTCATAGTTACAGTACATTCAATAAACTACTTATAAGTAGACAATATTTTAATACAAACACCTTTGTTAAAACATTATTTATAGCAAAATATTAATTTTAAATGAAACAGATTTAATTTACCTTAATAAACACAGGAAAGCTAATAATAAATTTACCTGAACCTATGACCATATGGCTACTTTTAGATATTACAATGATACTGTTATCCTTTCATTTTAACATAATATCATAATTTGAATGCTAGGAAAATGGATGGTGGCCAAATATAAACTATAACAATGGTCATGTCTGGCACTATGCCTAAAAATTAATATTTTACTATTTAAGCTCCCATAATTTAATCCCCAAACAGTTTTTATGTCAAAATGCTCATTAACTACTCTATGATTGAATGCCAAATATCTGTATAATCTTCTAAGCTCGCTAGTGACATAAACATACAAAGACAAGATACAAAATATTAATTTGTGATTTAATTAATTTCATTCTGAATAAAGTAAAAACTATATTATTTTTGTATACAAGTAGTGTATCAGTATAGTTTACTCCTGAACTACTTGAAAAATTTAAAAGATGATACATCTGAAAAATACATAATTAACCCATAAATCCCCAAGCGGTCACCGGTGACCGCTTTCCACTAATATTACATTACATTATAGACCTTATTTCTAATGTTTAGAGAATACTTTTGTATGACCAAATTTAGGGGATGGATATCAACGGGTTAAATTGAAAAACTAGCAGTATAAAGTATAGTATATCTATCTAGTTTAATTACATTTTTATCTGACTTTGTTGCTAGGATTTTTTATTGAGTTTGACAGTTAAAAGATAATTTAAAATTTTCCCATATTATTCCTATCCACTGTTCACCAGTTACACTATAAGCAGAAGCACCATCATTGACACCAACATATTTATATTCAGTTAAAGTTTTGTATTACTGACCAATTCAAAATATAGTGATAAATATTACAAATTCTTTTTACAAAAGTCACAAGGTAGCCAAAATGCAAAAACCATTGATCGCCTCACTTTCACAAGTAAACAAATAGTTCATTGAATATAGAACTTATCTTTACTTGAATGAGCTTGGAACAATGTACAACATTATCACCAAATATATTCTAACTACTACATATAGAGTCACTCTATCCCACTCACTAAAACAACAATTACGAACAATTCAAACATATCATAGGAAAGTCATAAATAACTCATCAGTAGTCACAGAGAATTGTCATGTTAATATATATAATGTATATAAATAAGGTTGTTAGCCATAGCATATTAATAATGTATTTTTCAACACTTGCTTCATTTATTTGCCAAAAGAATTGAAGTAATAACTACAATCAAAAACTATTATAGAACTACTCTATAACTGTTTTGACCTGCTATATGTTAAAATTAAGTATGAATATCATGATTTGCACTAAAAATAGTTTTTTTCTAGTAAAGAAACTTAAACTGTGCCATATATCTATCTCTATGGAGTGTCTAATTAATCTGATAAGTCTAGCATGAAATGTAGGATGTTTAGTGCGCTCCATGAGCCAATTAGATCAGTTTATTATTACTACGCAAAGTAGCTGCTGGTTGCAACAGGAAATATGAGGTTTGAAGGGCAGTACTGTAAAAGTATGTCACCTTCAATTTAAACCTTGTGGAACAAGTACGAATATTCCTTGATATTACCTAATCGCAACAATTCGATGGGTACAAACATCTAGCACTAAAATATTAACGCTGTAATAAGCACTAAGGGAATACCTAGAATGATCAATAATGACTCCTTGTGGAGGTAAGTGCTATAGCTACCTATTATATTATCTACTTCAACTAGTAGCATTTCGCATTTATCTTTCAGCAACAATCAAACGGACGAATATCTATATTAATGACGAAACTTTAATTATCTCTCACAAAATAGTGGGATATATCGGTGGACCTACTGTAGTCTAAAAGTCTCTTGCGTGCAGTGGCTTTCTAAGTGTATCATAAATAATTGCAGTACATTTACGAGTTCCGCAGTTACAACTTTTACTCGTAAATAAGTAACAATCAACCAAGACTGGTTACGGGTACGTATGTATTTATTTATTGTCAAGTAGGTGCTTACTATATTTTCTACTTTTCCGATTTAGTTAAATACATATAATAGACATTTATTCAAAATTATCTGAATTTATCTTACTCTAATGCTATTATAGGGCTACGCACTGATCTTTTTGTAGCAGCGAGAACAATACATCGCCTGCTGAAATGCTCTCAAAAATAACTCTTAGAAGTACACGTTTGCATTGTGAAAAGTAATCGCGCAATAGATATACAAGCCATCAAAAGAAAAATGTATGTGTAAAAGACATAAAACAGCTGAATATCACCTTGAGTAACGATTGGCGGCGCCTCGGAACGATTGCCCGCCCACTGCAAATAGATTTTACAATCAACCTATTGACACAAATAAGTGTAGTACTCCCGTTCGGGCAACCTATGGTGGGTCACAAAAAACATTACAATTTAGCCATCAATATTCAATTAAAAATTATCTTCGTTAATTTAATTTTGATTCAGAGAGACATAAAACTAAAATTGTATACTAGACGCAGGCGTACTTTACCGGCACAAAAATAAATGTTGTTATGATTCAGCATCTCTACAGAATAATTTAGAGCCGTTGGCGCCTCAACGTTTATTATTCAGCAGCCCTTCGCCAATGTAAATATTAGTGAGTGGAATTAGATAGGTGCCAACTGAAGCGGAATACTACTTAGATATGTTCTGAAACGAAATCTAAGTATCTATCGAGTCAACTTCTCATTATGGTGATTCGCGAAGGTCGTTCCTACGTATTCACCAAAACGTTAGATGTTGCTTGTGCAACTAGACTACCCACTTGTGTGGTACACATAGGTGAATACTCCGTTAGTCATGGTCTGCCTCCTTAAAAGTGAAGGGATTCAACACAGCAGGCTAATTTTGCAACTGGTATAACCGTGTAGGTGAGTGATAAATATATGTGCCTATGTATACGTCAATCAGAGACGTCTACCTAAATGTAATTACAATAATCACATGCATAAACATTTTCACGAATTACCACATTTGCTGTTTCTGATATCAGTTTGTTTGTAATACAGATAATGCTTGATATCTTTACGTACCTAGGTAGGTAGTGTTCTTTATGATTTGTAGAACAATAATTTACTCACCTTCTTTGATTAAAATTTCAAATAGCTATAGATTTTGGAAATTCAGATTGCTTCACTTTATTTACTTAAAATTGGAATTATTATTTTAGTACCTAGATAGACAACCAAAACACCAAAAAGTTAAGCCATTCATCCCACATTCACATGGCTTGGCTTTGTTTTAGACTTCAACAGTTAAAACTCTGAAACTATTTGGGACTGAATACATTATCCTGAACTAACGCAGCCGGTACAATTTGTTTAATGTTTGTAATAATTTATTCAAGACATTAATGAATGATTTTCTCAGTCGGCAGACGCCGTGGGATATATCGAATGGATTCGCGACCTTCGGCAATTTCTGTATTGTTGAAACTTTCAGTCAGTTAGTCAGTGGCTTCGATCGCTATGAATCAGTCTAGTAGAGTGGTTCACGTGCTCGCTCGCCTGAAATAGTGCAGTGTAGTAATTAGTGCAGTACTGGTGTTACGTCTCGGAACTTGGCACCTCATCGCGTATTAATTTTAGTTTGGTCTTCAACTCAACAAGTGTGAACTGCCAGTGTTATTGGAGGGCGGGAAATATTCTACGTCATAGACTTCTTGTGTAACCTATACAAAAGTTTTTGCTTTAAAAAATATTTTTTGTGAGCCTTCTTAGTGACAAAGACAAACGTTCATTTCAGTCACATTTAGTACTCCCAGTGTGATTAGTTATGTGCATATTGTGTTACAGTAAAGTTGCTCGTAAAGTGAATATGGATTTTGATCTGAACTAGGAAAGTGAGTACCTATTCTATTGTACCTAAATAATAATACACATTCATAATTATATCTACGTGATTATTTATTATACAAAAATGACTACTTATTGTCTATTAATTAATTTAAACTAACTCCCACTCACCTAGGTCCTCTACATAATACTAATATTAAATGATATTTAACTCGTCGAGTACCGTCATTATAGACACAATTATAGAACAATAGGTTGCGGTCACCGGTGACCGCTTGGTGTTTGACAGTTTAATAAATAAAAATACTTGCCACAAAATTATTTTGTTAAAATAGTTATCTAAATTATTTGTACAGAATTTTTATTGTTTTATTCACACCATATTACTTAACGAGATCGTTACATTCTGTTACCCATAGTAAAATACTTAGTTAATAATTTGATTGCCGTTTTATTCAAGGGCGACGCGTTTTGAACTCGTCTAGGACCTTAACCTAATTAGGTAGGTGCAATTATTGTATTCAGTAAAGCACTTGACAAATGTTGACCTCTTATGAACCCAATAAACCGAGCATATCTTTGATATCATTTTCTTAATTGATTTTCAGGTTCATTCATTCAAAGGTGATAAACCTATACAGGTAAATACAAAAAGTAATGAAGGTAAATACATTATATACAAACATGGCATCATCGTGGGGAATATTGAATAAGATGATGAATTGATTGTTAGCGTGAACCTCACGAGCATTGTAAACAGCTTATAAAAAGTAACAATATTATGAGCAACGTTTTCTCCTAAGCTACGCCAGATAAAAGTTATTTAATTGACTTATTACAAAACAGCTTTTTGTTGTTTTACATCTCATAAAAACAACCATGTTACTATACAACAATCTTTTAAAAACTTCTAAAGATAATATAGTTCTACAGCTACTGCTCATTGTTCTATTTTATATAGTTTGCAAACAATCACAAAGTTTATAATAGTCGCAAACATTTGTACTTCGTTGACTTTCCAATTCACTTGCTTAGGAGAAAATAATATTGAGTGAACCCAACTTATAAATTATGTCTGTCATTGTATTAAATTGTGGGAAACAACAATTATGTAAGATACAAAATTCACATGGAAAAAGTGGGGTACTTGCAACGCGAAAGTTCTTAAGTAGTCTCTAATCAAACCACTGATGTCTGCAGTTTGTGGTGAACTGTTGCGGATGGTTCGTAGCACTGGATGTGTCAATACATCTGCGTTATCTGTTGCGTAGTATATGGTTAACGCCATTGTATTTTTCCATAAGAATATTATCAGTGTTGGTATTTGTCTCTCACTATTTCGGCAACTATGTCCCTGGGTATCATAGTGGCACTAGCAGTCTTCGTAAGTGCCGCCTTGGCACTGCGCCCCGGTCGCCTACTGAAATACACGTATACATTGTATACTAGCTGCCTGGTGTCTGCTGGCAATTCAATCCTACTCTCTTCCCCACAGTCTGCCACTTTGCCGTTGTATAATCTTCGCCAACTAAACATTGTCCATGCGGTCATTGCCTCGTCTCCGTATTGCGCCGTTTTGAACCAATTTCTAATTATTATTCGTTCCACAAGTACACTAGTTAATGTTGGTTACACTCTAATTTCCACTTGCAACGATAGGATTACAAATAGCTGATGTTTAACGGTTGAAGTCCGTAACGTATGAATTTTTTGATAGCCGCGTATAATTATGAAGCATGAAACAATATACAAATACTTTAACTTATACAGAAGGAACAGACACACAGTTTAACACAGTTTAACACAAAGATATCCGTTCAATCGCGAAGACGCTCACGCACTGGTTGCTACCAATCCTCAGCAGACCACATTTGCAAACAAGTCACATGGTCGTGACATCCGCTGTGTCACAAACGTGATCACAATGCTATAGGAATTGAAGATACAGCGCAAGTAGACCAAGATGAGCCGACTTTGTATGCACGACTAGCATTCCTACTCACAACCTTGGACAGAGATAGCATAATGTCCGTTATAATAAAAAATATATTGCTTCTAGCAAATATGTACATCGCCATTTTCAAATAAACCGTTGCCTAATGTTAGGATATGAATAGGAACTGCTCCTTATTCTGTTTATGGAGATTAAAAATGGCATGTACTATGCATGGAACATTTATTATGGTCACTTGTAAGTTGTATGTAAAAGTACATTGTACCCGCTTTATTTTAAGTCTAATATCGTCATTGGCTCAAAAGTCGCTAGTCAAACTCGATCCCACAAGGTTCACCTTGAAGTTATAACCGTCAGCGATGTATTTTTTGCTTTTCAAACAAAAAAAAAATCCCGCCGCTAATTGTTGCTATGTTCGTACTATACATATTACTAGTTAATGTGATATTACTTGTATATATAGCCATTAAAATCACCTAGGTACCTATATTTAGTTATAAAGCCATTATTGTGCCTATTGCTGGATTTGGATTTGCGATTACGATTCTTAGCACTGAATTTGGGTAAATGCCTTATGTATGACGAGAATGTCGCATAATACGAAAGGACTAAATTATGTAACATTGTCGTCAGAATTTTGGGCGTCTGGGAAAGACTGCTTCCGAAGCTATTGAATTATAACAGCTGATGTTAAGTTTTATACTAATCGTATCACAAATAGCCACACACCAATTATAACGAAAATATGCTTAATATTAGACACCTCTACTAGCCTCACAAAGAAAAAATATCACTACAATGTAAATAAAAAGAGACACGTATAAAAACGGTTTTATAAAATGTTTATTTTATAATAAGATTTAATCCCCAGGTAGATAAGGCCAGTTCATTTACCTATCTAGATTAGCTGTACGTATAATTTCTTATAGAACAACTATTAAAAACAATATCAAGAACAAAAATATCGTTGCAATGGAAACATTGTTGATTGTAACTTTAATTATTTCAGCCATAGAATTTAATTAAATTACTTGGTCAGGCTTCTACGGGTTCTTTTGCTTCTGCGTCGATTTCAATTTTTCCAATTCCATACACATGTTAAGTTGTCCACAAAAATACAAGCACTAGCCGCTGCATGCTGGTGTAGGGCTTTTTGTCCAGTTTGGGTATCGAATCCATTGTTAATACGATTTTTAGATTTTTATTTCTAGTTTCTGAAGCATAGTTCCACCGTAATTTATTGCCACTTTAGCTGCTATAGTTACATCAAAAGGTGTTTTTTTGTAGAATTAATGTTTAACAAAACATTGTAGCTTATTGACAGTGATTGTCTGTATTTTGTATGCTATTAGTAACGTCAATTCTTATTTATTTGTTTGCGTTGTACGAGTATGTTTTATTGGACTTATTATTAGATCAGACGTTTTGTCTGAACACTAGCGCATCTGAAGAGTTCAGTGTCTCTCAAAATTAAGGTTATTGTGTCGTGAACTATGTCGGTCGGTATACCTAAGTGTCATGTAACGGTATTAGCATTATACAGGCCGGTAGTGCTGGCGGAAATTATTGCCGAATAGACAATGATCGAGTTGGTAATTTTACGGTTGCTAGTGCCGTAACAATGTCAGTGTCCTCTGCACTGCTTTTTACAGGTTCTAATTTATGATAGTAACCAGTTTTCAGTAGTTTTTGCTCAATCAATTCTCACATTACGTACAAATTTCTATTTATTTACATATTTTATTTAATGGTACTGTAATATGACGACTGGGGTGTCCTCCACAAACGATATGACGCTAACTAGTTGGTCACAGATATTATGTAACATACTTATTACATCACAGTAGGTAAACAACTACAAATAGGGTTAGTAGGGTTTCCTCTAGAATGTCTCGGAGTTGAATGACACGCGTACATTATTATGTTCATACTTATCTTTGAATGTGATTAATATCCTACATATTTTATTGACGTTTTCATATTATAATAACGCAAAATGTTCATGTTTTATCGATTTTATCATAGAATTGAGAATTGGTCCTATGAAAAGTAGTAAAACCGTAATCAATTAAAAATCATTGCCAAAATGACTTCTGCTTCGTCTTGGTTTTTCCTTGTTCTTATTGTTATTCTATTCGCTTCCTAGTTTTTTTTGTTACTTATTCGTTGATCGTTGTTTTGTTCATTGTGGCTTACCAGCCTTTTTCTAGGTTTTATTAATGGCATTAACAAATTTTGTTGTACGCCTACGGTGCGTACTTCCTAATTCAATGTTTAAACTACTCGTATACCTCTAGTGAAAGCTATGAAAATGTCAACATTGACGATCGCTTTCAACTCGCCAGCGAAGCTTTAGTAAAATTGGTCTTAAAATTTGAAGCACTTGAGGAGTAAAAATAGATCTCTATCGATCTTAGAAAGCGAAGCGATGTCAGGTGTGCATTTTCCCGAGATACCTTAAAAGGTTACGAAGTCTAGATTTTATGTTAATTTCCTTTGATTTATTTTCTAACAATGTTCTTCATCTAAATCGTTTCACTGGTGGTCGAAGCCGTCAATCCGGAACGATTACAATATTATAATGATTGAAATAAAGCTATCGCATTATTATTATGCCTTAATTGATTTTTACTTGACCATTATATTTATTAAGGTACCTAATATACTGATGGACGCTTTTGTATTATTATTGTTAAATTAATATTGCTGCATTATACATCATATAAGACGTCAATATCTCGAATAGAACATGCTTATCGTAATTTGTTTCAAAAATGTTTAAAAATAATCGGGCCTACATTTAAAGTTTGTAGCAACGTTTGTTATCATAGGATACGATTTTGTCTCTGATAATGATTATTGTAAAGGGTGTAATCTGATCTTCGGCCTCAGATCCGTTCAGTCATTGGCACGCAGTGACTCAGACTGTGACTCAGAAAAGATATTTTTTTTAATCACCTTAAATATTTCATCACAGTGTACAGTAATGCACTTACATTTCCTCATTACACACTTTTTGCCCTAGAAATGCTACGAAAAGTTTTTAAAAATTTCACAATCATAATTTCTACTTTAAGCTGACAATAGAAAAAG